TGACTTATGAACAAACGGAGCATAGGAATGCGAACTTTCTAAATTCCTTGGACGTCTCTAAAAATATTAATGTGCATCTTACCGGTAATGCTAGGTATTCGAAGGTAGTCACGCCAGGAACAAGTGATGGCACAAAAACGCTAAAATGATATATTCCTAATTTACTAAGCGTTTATGAATGTAAACACTTGTACTAGAACAAAACGTAAAAAAATCTATATGTATTTTTTGATGAATGTCTAATATAGTTCATTTACTGTCTGTTATATTTACTGTCTGTGTCCTCTGATGAAGTCGTTATGATTACTCTTATATATTGCGTCTTCTGTGTAAGTTTATTTCCTGCTCTGCGTCCGCCGGTGTGCACTGTAATCTGCTAAGGACACGTCAAGCTGCACGTGCAGCTTTTTTTCTCGATCATCGCCATCAAATGGGGATTAAAGCTACACATACTATTATTAATATTATGAGGCGACCGCGGAGCTATATACGCATGAAAAATTTATGGTTCATTTGTGTTCCACCATTTTTCTGGAGAACTGTCATTACTGGGATTCCGTTCATATGCAAGACTCAAAAAGGAGATGAACAACTCGGCCTATAAAAATTACCTTATAGAAAAAACGTATGAACTCTTTGGTAATCTTTATATTTTAGTTAATCGTTTTAACAAAATTTCCACCCGGGAGCATAATTCACTCGGACACCCCAAATTTGTGTAGCTGTCACAGTTTTTTTTATCGAAAATCTGAATTCTTTGCAGATTCACATTCGTATCTTCCTTGCGCAGGGCTTTAAAGTGGCGTCAGAACGACGAGCTGTCGATTGCCTTTAATTGAAGGATAGTGGGTAGAACTCAAAGCATGCTATCTTGAGGTCTACCTACTATACTTTCAACAGAGCCAATCATAACATGGCGTTCAGGAGTCACCGCAACCCCGGCAATATGCAACAAACAAATTTGCGCTCCGTACTTGAAAAACAAGAAATGTGTAAACACAAAGATACGCAAACACGTTTGGAAAGTACAAACATGTCTCACTCTAAGATAACCCTCTCTTGGCTTGTTGCAAAATCATGCGGGTGGAAGCAATTCAAGTTCGACAAACAGGTGAAATTTATTGACTGTTATCGCCCGCGCCACGACTCCAAAACATTCCGCTCATGCGCCGCGACATTCCTTCAGCAGCGTCGGAGTGCCGCTTGCGTGGTCACTTGCACTTGGCCTCACGCGGAGGAAAGGACGACGGAAAATTTATCATGCGGAAAACCTGGTTCAACGCTTGGATCCCCAAGATTCCCAACAAGTTTTAGACATACTGAGAAAGCAAAGCCGTTCATATGTAGACATTGTCCCGGAAGCAAAACCCGGCATCTAGTGAGCATTGCATTCTTCAAGGCTTGAGTTTGCTTCTGTGATTTGGAATTCAATTTCTGTAACACAGGCTTTGATTATAGAACGTGTGCAAAAAAGATTTGTTCGAATTGTTTATGATAGATGGATTGGACGACGCGTGTATTATGACTATGAATGCTTACTGAATAGATTTTCGCTGAAGCTTTTATCACACAGAAGAACAGTCCTTGACTTGGTATTCCTGCATAAGATCATTAATGGTGCCATTGATTCTTCATGGCTTATTAGTAAAATCCATTTCCATGTTCCTTTCCAGGCGACGAGACAGCTCACCTGTTTTGATATTTGCTCACCATGCCGTGTGTCACCTCTTTCTCGTTTACAGACATTGTATAACAGCATTGTGCCACCTCAAGTTGACATCACCACACCCCTGCCTACATTTCGCTGTCAGTTGGACGAACTTTTCGTCACTTCATAGCGCGTCAGTGTATATGCATATCTATTTATTTTTAATGAGTAGGATTTTTGTTTAAGAGTTTTATTGTACGAGTTGGTGTACCTAAGAGAAGGCCGCTCGGCCGTTTTAGGGCACCCGAAAAATAAAGATTATTATTATTATTATTATTATTAGCTACTGAGCCGCCAGGAAGATAGCCACTGTAGTCATGGCCTTGTTTGTCGCTAACGACAACCTCTCAAATTGGAGACGAAACTGAGCAATTAAATAACAATAAAGACAGGTATGTTAACCAGTTTGAATATAATTGAAGCACCAGCTACTATATTGTTAAGTTCAACACTTCGACTGCAGTGCACGAGAGATTGAATGGTCCGATTCGTCAAAGATATAAAAATACTGAACAGTGAACCTAGAAATTTGAAAGACGAAGGGCTGAACATTGCCGAAATATTGTTTAAAGAAAAAACGCAACGTGCAAAATTTTGCAAAGAGTGATGTCTTCAAGAAGGCAAGACACTTCCGAGAAAATCAGCGTTAATAAATGCTCCCGTCCACATAAACAACAGACTGCTTTGTATGACAGGGAAGCTTTAGTTTTCCATAAAATCGTAGGATTAAAAACATAAACCAGTTATGTCTCAATGCCTCAATTTCAGGAGGTTTCGGATAAATTAAGTTCCCGGGGAGTCGTGGTATGCTCTTCGAACAACGGTTAGAAATCACGCATTGCGATGTTTAATTTCACAGTTAATCGTTCAAAAATGTCTTCTGGGGTTATTTTCGCTTTACCAGGGACACGTATGATCATCCCCCGGCAGTTAATTTGACGGGTTGCATTAAGTGGTCCATCGCTGTTAACTTGGCAGCTTGCGGCGACTGACCAGTATTCTGGGGTCAAGCGCCTTTGGATTCACATTTTTCAAAATATCCTTTAGGCTGCGCGACGCATAATGGTAAAAACGTTACCAAGACTAATGCCAAATTTATTCGATCGCCTACCTCATCAATTTATCTCATCCCCATTGTCGTATTTCTCCTTGTATATGTTTCGAAAATGCATACGCATAAATGTCTAATCTATGAAGCTTCTTGCGCAACCTTCAAGTCAATGTTTCATGACACTCTGTATATAATTATAATATTAGCATTTCTTTTGATTTATAATCATCTGGTAAGAATGTCGAATGGTGCCTCATACATTTTTTTGTTCTGGCCACACTAGTGTTTTGATAGTTTAGGGGCAAATATAACACCTGAAGCACTGGAAAAGTATTGCTTAGGTTGTAGAGTAGAGCGCGATTTATTGCATTCAGTGCAATAGTTTGATGTCGGTTGGTATACCCCATGTAATATTTTACTAGTGGCGCTAGGTTTAGGATGTGTTGGCTTGCAAATCAGCGGGTACATCTCTTCGCGCACATCAAATATTATTTTGTGAATTTTCGTACGTCGAAAGCAATTTAATAAAACGCAAGCCGTGTCACTTTTAATATTTCAGAGAAGATAAATTATTTTTACATACGTTTATTTTATTCCAGGAGACGTTAATAGCGTAAGATTGTGATTACTTTTGATTTTTCAAAATATTGGGTTACTTATCAATCGGTAATTAGCCATCTTTGAGTATTTAGTGTTTCATCGCTCACATATGCGCCTATTTGGGTGCATATGGGCATTGCAGCCACCTATGCTTCGCCGACCTGTTATGTATGTTGACTATAACTTGTATTTGGTAACCTCCACCAGAGCGCAACTTACGGGAGCTGTAAAAAATTTTGCCGATTTTTTTTTTGAAACATGAAAAAGCATACATATCCCTTTAATGCGCGATTCACTTAAACACATATCTGTATTAACCAACAAAGCGTTTACACTTTCCCTCCCATCTCAAGCTTCCTCGCATAACGTAGTTACCAGGCGAAACAAGGCGCCACAAAATTGGGATTCCAACTGATCTCATCGTCACACGCAGCAACACAAGTCACTGCTGTTGCGACACGCGCCGGTCATTTGCATGTGTGGAGGTAATTAGGAAGGGAGGGTGACGTGTGCTTCATCTAAAGTTCGCAACCAAGTGGATCTGGAGGCGTTGACGGTGGTCAGGAATTCTACTCTGTTACTCAGATTTTACTTTAAGCTTTCTTACCGCTTCACGACTACAAATGCAAAAGCCATCATGTAATACCGCATAATAATATTTAATATATGGTTCCCCATGATATTACTAAAAATAAACAACAGCTACTCTACATATGCTTCCCTTAGAAAAACAATTATAGAAGAAAGTGCTCATTAAAATTCTCAAAAGTAGTTAGTTCTATATTGCACTGGTTCTCTATTCAAGTTTACCAAGATATTCACTGAATGTCCCAAATAAACGCAGGATATAGCATTTTACGAGTGCATTTTGACAGAAATGTATATATTCTGGTTCGCTGCGCCACCTTCATCTGAACGGCTGCTCTATGAACTGTTACCATCGTGACACGAGGCGATGCTATCCACTGCAGTTGCAAGACGCGCCGGTAAATGTCATGTCTGGAGGTAAATAGCATTTGAAGGCGATGCGTGTTACATTTAAAGTTCCTAACCAAGTGATCATGTAAGCGTTAACGATGGTCAGGTCCTCTCTTTTGTTACACAAATTTTCACTTTAAGTTATGTTACTACTTCACGAATACAATCAGGCTTAGCGAAATGTCAGAATCAAAACTAAATTATAAAAGTGAGCATGCAATATAGGTTAATAATATTTATTAAATGGTTCAGCATAATAATACAAAAAAGCGAGTCCACATTTGCTTTCCGCAGAAAATTGATGACAGTAGAGATTCTGTATTAAAAATTCACAAAAGGAGTTTCATGTTGAATTCATTCTATCTTCAAGCCTAGCAAAAGATTCACTGAACATTCCGAATAAGCGCAGGATATAGAAACATAGAATTGCCTTTTGACACAAATAAATATATTCTTATGCGCTAGGCAGATTTGTGTTCGCCACAGTGTCATATATAATTTTATTTGTGCGCTAAACATTTTCTTAATATCAAAAAGATATTTTTACAAAAGTTTTCAAGCGCTTGACACCCAACTACAAGAAAAGCAAGGTCGTCTCCTGAGTAATGTAGAAAAAATATAAATATACTTGAACTTTGATGTATATAAACTTGAAATACTTACACCTTCTCCTGTGATACTGCATGCGATCGATCCCCCTTCTCTGATAAGTTGCATGCATTTATGCGGATTCGGATAGAGATTCGTTGAAAACACCCCTGTAATGGAAGACTGGTACGAATTTGGGTAGCGTTTATTAAAATCAAATTATTCATTAAGTACTACCCTAATCATCATATAGCACAGGGGTAAAGAAACAAATCAGCGCTGTTTCAAGTTTAAAAAGAAAGATCCGAATGCTAGGACTAAAACTTTCAATGCAACTTTTTTCAAATTTATTTTGTGCCCTCAGCACCCTCACTATCCAGTCTTTTCATTTTGAAAAAAAAGTACGGTAGCTGGAGCATACGATTTTTCTTTAGTACTTCTTGAGTACACGAACGTTTATCACATTAGTTGGCTCGCGTAATCAACTATTTGACTTAATTATTTCCACACAGTGTACAAATTTATGCAATATTATGCAAACATATCGCGTCTAAAGATGACCACTTATTGTTTCACAAAACTTGAAGTTGTTTCTTGAATGATCAACTACGCACACTAACACGTTCTGTACTTCCAAGAAAACATCTAAACTCCACCAAGAGTGTTATATATTTAAACGTATAAATAGGAAAAACATCCCCCCTCCCCCCAAGATATTCACCTTTCTACATCGGACACGAGCCACCTTTCAAGTGTGGAGAGGTTCGCAAAACATTATTCCATTTCACATGGAAACCCAAATATAGGCCTGTTTGCAATCGACCCCTTTCACATTGAATTCGCCGAGACAGTCCTTTAAGTATCAGCAAGAACGCGGACTTCACAATAACTTTCCGAGAAATAAAAATGTAGAGCGTTTTTTTTTTTTTTTCTCGCGATACTAACGTTGAATGAGAAGCGATTCCATAACGTGGAAATCCTTCGACCGGCCGACTCGAACTAGGATTATAAAACAGAAGCTGGTCACGAGACTCAACATAATTATGCGACGTAGGCACAAAGCTGGTTATGTTGTCTGTTTGTTGTTGTTTTTGAGGAGCACCTTTTTTAATGGTTTGATTTTTAACATCAGCATATTATGTGAAAACTTAGTGTCAAATCTAATGAACATTTAACACTTAAAACAATTTCTGAAATTCCGCAATATAACAGGTATGTGTCTAAATTAACATCGCCCCCCTCCCCCCCCCCCCCAAAAAAAAAAGGACGCCAAAAGTTAACGTTGATAAACATAATATAGAATTAGGAGTGATTGCAAAGCATTTCTTTGCATCAGATGGCGACCTCAATATATGAACCTGCTTAAATATTGCTCCTATTGACATTGAAGTTCCCAAAAACATTTTTAAGTGCGTAGATATTCTCGGGGATGCGAAAGATTCGACCAGGATAAAACTAAACATAAAGTTTCAAAAGACAAATTTGTGCCAGAAACAAATTAATCATAGAGCGTCAAGGAAACAGTAGCGAGCGTCGAAAGCGACAGCAGCGAGAGTCGAGGTGTCGGCGTAAGACGTGGCTAGCGCGAGAGTGCGACTCTGTCGTAATCGCGACACTGAGCCGGCAAGGCAACGCTGGGCTCCTTATCAAATACACGTAGTACCTAGAACATTCCGCCTATAATGTTCGAGCTTCGAACACTCGGGACACTGACTCTGCAAGGTCATGTTGGCCCCCTTATATATTACAGTATGCATCTCGAACATTCATAAAATGTTCGAGGAACGAACGTTTGGCCGGTAGGTGTCAACACGAATCTCCTAGGTCTACGGAAATGTTTACCCTCTCGGCCATGCACACGGCAATATTAAGCGTATGTTACAAGAATGACTCTATCCTAATCCTCCTACCCACTTGAAAAAAGACCAAATATTAACACCTGAAGACTTCAATTTAGGAGCGTTTACAAAACATACTTCAATTTTAAGACATAAACACAATAATCAAAATATATTTCGAACGGGCTCAAATGGTGAAGCAAATATATAATATTTTGGAAGGGGCGCATTTTTAAACGTCCGAATTTGATCTATGCTCTTGAAATTTCTTTTCGTTTTTTTTTGGCGTCGGTAATGGGATGGAAGAAGAGGATATCAAGACTTCCTTCAACGAGGAACGCCACAATTTTCGGAGTTAGCCATGAACTGCGGAAATTACTCTCTGTCACCCAAAAGTCGAAGTACCAGATGCCATTCTTTCTTCGGCTCGCTACTCTTTTTTTATTTTGAGAAGAACTAAGAGAAAGTCGGAGTAACCCCAAACTCTCACACAATTTTTCTAATTATTCTACTGGTGCACCACCTTGTTACCCGTTGGGTTCCGTGATTGGGGCCCCCTTCACTTAGCGATTGTCGACTTTTCAACGATTAGATTCGCCCAATATTGCGACAAACGATCGCGTCAAAAGACGGCTCGCCACGAAGACAAGTGTAGCAGCGAAGGGAGTTTGCTTTTTGTTGACCGCCGTGCACCCCCAATGATTAGACACTGTATTTTCTCTAACCATCAGACGCAGCTGCCTATTGGCAAACAATAGTTGTTTTTTCGAAATTACACAGCGGATTTTCAGTATTTCTGGTTAAAGTGCCGCGTCGAATTTACAATTTTGCCAATGATAATGTACAAAAAAGAAGCATCATTTTTTCATCCTTAAATTCGTTACGTAGGCCATTTACGATATTTATTAGGATCTCCCAAGAACATCCTTAGGGTAAATCCTAGGACACCTATTTGGCTGAGGTGTCCATTTGGCTGACGGCTCAACTTGACTGACGAGAAGAATTCAGCTGCATGCTCCAATTTAGCTGCATATCCAATTTGGTTAGAGTATACTGGTCTGGCACAATGTTTACGTTTTGCTTAATGTACACATTTAGTTAATATTTTCGATTCGGTCAGAAGGTTTCGATTCGGTCAGACGCTTGAGTTTAGGCGGGTTCAAACATTCATTGCAACCTTAAATCAATACTACAAAAAGCGCTGGTGTAGCGCTGACTTGAGCGTAACAACACTGATGCTGCATTGTATCGGCACCGTATTAATCCTATAGAGCGAATCACCGCTGCGTGAGCAAGGTTTGCGGTTTTTCTAGCGCTGACTAGTGCTTTTGGGTAACGTTGTGGTGTATGTATCAACAAGCCTTTTTTTAAGCATCTCGTTTCGGCTGGAAGGTTTGTCTTAAAGATCTGAATGGCTGAGGTGTCCCAAATTTGCTTAGGTAATTAAAAAAATTCTGCATCAAGATCTTATATTAGATATAAGAGAAGCCAGGACGTCCTGTCGCTTTCCAGTGGATGGCGGGCAGAACAGAAAGATGAGCCTATATATGGAGATATTGCATTCATTGTGAGGTCAAGTTTACAGCCCACTTTATTTTCGATTATGGAGTGATGTGTGCGGAGAAACTCAAAGAGACAAGAATATACACAACTGAAAACTGGAGACATGAACCTGCTGGTACCATGTTTCACGCGGCCTTTTGACTAGCAGAAAGGATTTTACTAGTACCTAATTTGCAACGAATACTGCAGATATAGTTCAGTCGCACAGGCCTATTTGGGATACCTCTCCAAATTGAACCCATAAGTCAAACCTTCAAGCCAAATCGAGATGATTGAGAGAAACCAAAGCATCTAGCCTAATTGGATCGTGCTGGCGGAACTGAAAATTCTAGCCAAATTGGGCATTTAGCCAAATAGGATCACCCTCCCGAATAGGCCTATTCAGTCCCACTCCGGAGTCAGCCAAACACACACGTTAGCCGCATTGCGATTGCACGGCATTCGTTCGACAGATCTTTATCTCCGTAGGAAATAAAGTATGTCATATATCTGAAATATCGAAAGAGCGAAGAGGAAAAGGAAATTGCACAAAATTCGAGCCAGCATTCGCTCGGCTGAGTTCCATGTAGTTGAGTCTGCGCAATCTTTATTTTCGTGACCGAGTTTGCAACCTTCGGGGGCTCAACAAACAAATGGAAATAAAACCAAAATAATATAACATAATGGCACCTCCACAGCATAATAGTGCTCACAATTATAATTTTCCGAAAAAAACGGAAGCGGTATCGCCGACGCCACGGCGTATATTTTGTAAGCCGTTTTCAGATTTTCCGCGGTTCTCAATGGGCTAAGGGGATTAGCGACTCTTCATGACGCGGCGCACGTTAAATCAAGACTCGGTAGCGTTTAATTACCTCAAGAATGAGAACCTCAGTTGTAGAAGTACACCATTAGTGTCCTGGTTAACATACTAAAGGAATTATTTTGTCAATCCAAGAAGCCTTTCTAGATATTTTTTTTGTCTAGCCACAAGTGCACAGTCAACGCACAACGCATGCAGTTCATGCAGAGAACGAGGGAATGCAGGTCCAGTGAAGCAGACACAAGTTAAATATCACAACCTTGTTATCTGCTCTGCCGCCTCGTGTACTTGACATTTGAACGGTAAAGGTTACCAGCAGGTTGCTTTGTTCTCGTAACTTTTGAAAGAAATCCTGATATCTTAAATATTTAAGGAATACATCTTATGCATAAAAGCGTTTTGGTTCAGGGAAACGTATTCTGTTAAGTCGCTAAAATGACTTACGCTAAATATATTTAAACTGACTATATGGCCATAGGCTCCTGTATCCCTACGTTGTGGTGCAGCAGCCTTTCTCTCACTTTTTATAAATCCAGAAATAGCACAAGGAACCTATTATTTTCACCAAGGGTGCTTTACGCGCGTAGATGTGGTTGTAAGTCTCTAGCATATGATTGTTAAACCCATAATAGTGTAAATTTTTAGTGTACATATTTGTAAAACAGTATGAAAATTATAAGACAAAAATATCTTGACTTTTTTGGAATTTACCGTTTATAAATGTCTGTACCAGGAGTACAGTGAGGACAATTCTTTGTAGCATTCCTTTCTGTAGAAAAGCCAATTTTAGGCAACGTATTCCTGTAAATAAAGAACATTTTGATTCAAATTCGGAAGTTAAAACTTTTAGCATTGAGTAATGCATGCATTCAACCAGAAACATGTTTAAAATTTAAAAACGTGGAATGCTTGCAACAAAACAACCTACGTAAAAAAATTATTCCGTTCTTAACACCCCCCGTCCAAGCAAAATGTTCCCGCCATATGTAGCGGGGAATTAAAATAAAGTATAACTTTATACCGCTTGAGCTCGCACAAGACATAACTGGGTGATTTCAGATAAAATCGACCAAAGGGTGGCTGGTCGACATTTTTAAATAGAGTGATGTCTTTATATGCTGTTGTCTAGTACTATTGTCCAGTCTCTGGTATAAACGAATGCAAACTTAGTTTTGACCAGAACAAAATATTTGGCGACAGGAAAAATCGTGTCATGAAAAGGTGGACAGTTCCGTTAACGCTCACTGATGGAGCGGGCGCGTTTCAGAGTAATAACTAGAATGATAACGTTAGGAGAGTTTTAATACTTTAGACGCAACCTATGGGTACAGCTTGCTTGTAATATAAAATACTGATATTTTTTTCATTTTTTTTTTTTTATTTTTCTAAAAATTACCGATCTGGCCTGCTCGAACGACGAATGGCAAAATTTGGAGGCCTGTTTCTCATGAAATAATTTAATCATGACCATATAATTTGCTGATAGTATTTTACTTATATATGGCAATAATTAAAAGAAACATCTGAGTGATGATATAGTCAGGATATATTTGGGCAAACATGGGAAAAATCAAACAACGAAAACTTCCGATGCGAATAAAAAAAAGCACCACCTTCGATATTTCTTTTAAAATTTGGGTACCCTGTTACACATTATTTTGGCATTAATTTCTATTAAAATGATGTTGAATTATTTTATTTAGACAGAAGAAACAACTCCCCAAAGTAGGGTGCTCTTTCAAAGCCTACACTTATCAGTGCCAATACGACAAGTGACTCTGAGATTCAGTCTCAGGAAAATAACACACATCTTTCAAATATTTTTATTCAGATGAGGTCACTGGCAACCAGAGCAATCGGTCACATACTAAAATTGAAGAGAAACTATGTACAGCATTTTACAAACTGTGTAAAATAGGTATCTTATTAGAGAGACTGGTGATTCGAGAAAAGATGATGCAGTGTGAAGTTTTTACGGTTCTCGTCCGATTTTCCGGGCCCCTGTCCCCAGATGGACGTGACACAGCAAACGCATGGCTCTCGGCAGAACAGGTTTATTCCACTCACATTCTGCTGAGGGGTTTCGAGATTGGGAGAGGTGATCGAGGAAGCCGGGAAGGGGTGCACCGCCACTGTCTGCTGCATGCCGATCGTCCCTGCGGTGCTAGTTCACACCGCATCCTAGGAACATCGCCGACGAGGGTCGAATCCCGGGTCTAAATCTGGACCATGTCACCGGGCTGTCGGCCGAGCCGGCGTCGCGGTCGCCACCCCCACGCCACCACCCGCGCCAGAGTCCCCTCTCCAAATCTCTCGTCGTCCGTCCTCCCTTCTTCGCTCTTACCCGCCGGTCGCCGCGCACCAGACAGGCGGGAGCCTCCTGTCTCCTACCTAGTGATGCGAGGGCTCGGAAAAAAACCGGAAATTTTGGAAAAAAACTGTTTTTTCTGGTTTTTTCCACGACATAGTATTCGGGAAAAAAACCGAAACCCAAGTTTTTGAAGTATTAACAAATATATTAAGCAAATTTCTGCAACGAACGTTATAATTGATATCGCTGACCTCATCGAAAGGGAAAATGGCCATCACGCTCCTCTGAATTGAGTTTTGCCGGCAGAGCAGGCGGAAACTTAATCACGCTATACTAAACATAATACATCTTTCAGCCCCTAAGAAAACAAAACAGCGCGACGGCGGGGCAAGTGAGGAAACACAATCACCTCGGATTGTCTGCCGCCTCGCCCCGTCGTTGCACCGTTTGCGTTGTCTAAAAACTATGCAGCAACCATCCCAAATGACCGTTGCTTTACTGTTCAGTGTGAACGCCTTATACGGAGGAGAAATGACAGTGCTGTCCGAGGCATGTTGGTAGTGTGTACGCATGTGATGAAGCCGTGTTTCTAAGTCCTCTATGGCGTTTTTCTCGGTCAATAAATTAATATACGAGACTCTTAATTTACAGCCGGATCTCCACTACCGCACCAGCATGAACATAGCTTTAAATAACATAACAGCAGAGTGGCGAAATATAGTCGCATATGTCAACCATTGAAGAAATTAATTGCTTTATGTGCTATCATGAAGGTATAGTGCCATGTTTTAATGCCACGTTAAATAATCATATTCAACGGGGAGTGAAGTTTAACAACATTGATGTATTTTGTCATGACCCTTTTCCCTTCTAAGGGTACAACTAGTTCTGCATTAAAGAATACAGGATCAAACTTCAAAACCAACATTGGATGAGGTAGATATGCACGCGTTGACTAGATATATTTTGTAAATTAAGACGGATGTTCCAAAGCAGTGTGTTAGTTAGGGCTACTCTGACTCCACGCTTGAGTCATCTCCGTCGTGGTATTTCAGATCAGGGCTCCTGAGCTCGAGATTGGAGCGAACAAACACCAACTTCTGCACTCTGTGTCCTTTGAGTCGGTTCCTACTTTTGGTGTGGACACCGCTGAACTTCGACCAGTTTCGTTCGCACGCAGCGGAGGAGGGCGGGACTTGGAGAAGGCGACAAGCAATTGGTGCCAGGGGTTCAGAGGCACACAGCCCTTGCCACCACGTGGACGGTGGAATATGCTTCGCCGAGTCCTCCAATGCCTTCCTCGACCAAGCACCTGACTGGACCCGGTATTCGGCGAGATTTGCCAACACTTTTCCCACATCGAGACACATCCTTTCTGCTGTCTCTGTGATGTAGTCGATTGCGTGGCATACCTCTTCGTCACTTAAGCACCGCCCTTTGAACTTCGGGTCGAGCAAATTTGCGGCAGCATGTGCTGGACGGCAAATAAAGTTGCGTCGCTCACGCAGGATTTCTGCTACTATTTCCTTTTCGCCCGTTGTCAAGGCAGAGTTTGGAAGGGCCTCTTCGACTTGTCTTGTTACTTTGAACAGGATCTCATGGACGTCTGAGAGGACAGCAGTGTCTGACTCTGCCTCGGGAATAGCACGGGCAACTGGCTGCAACACGTGGAAGGTGCTTTGCACATCTCGCCAAAAGTAGTCTTCATCTAATATCGTTGATCTTATTTCCCTGCTCACTTGAAGCTCCGCAGCGATCACAGTTTTCTGTAAAGCTTCTTTGTTCTTCAGTAAGCCTTCTAGTGACATCGAAATGCCCGCCCAGCGAGTTTCAGCTGGTAGTTTTAATGTGGTCTGGTTTCCAGCATAGCACTCTTCTTGCCTCTTAGCAAAGTGAGCCGCAACCACGTGAGAGTTTCTGACATACTTGATTACAGTCTTGGACCTCTTGCAAACTTCTTGCAATGTCACCAGTTTGAGCATGTCCGACAGCAACAAGTTTAGTCCATGAGCACAGCATCCAAGAGTAGTGATGCTAGGGTAGCGCAGACTGACGATTGTCCACGCGGCCTTCATGTTGCTTGCATTGTCGGTAACAAGAGCGAAAAGCTTGTCGGTTCCAATTTTCTCCACAACCTTCACAATCTCTCCCGCGATGTAGTCTCCTGTGTGCCTGTGATCTTCCGTCTCCACGGCGCTGTAGAAAATAGGCTTCGGTGTAGCCAACACAAAGTTCAAGATGCTCTCGCCCCGTACATTGGTCCAGCTCTCCGTGAGTACAGTGACGCACAGAGCGGCGTTGACTTTCTCTTCCACCTGCGTCATCACTCGGGCATACTCGGCCTCCAAGAGTTGTCCACCTAATGAATGCCTGGAAGGCGGAACGAATGCGGGCCTGAGGAGCTTGAACGCTTCTCGCCAGTATCTGTTTTCCGTCACTGATAAAGGCGTTCCGCTGGCATATATCGCTCGAGCCAGCGCCTCATCAAGCTTGCTTTGACACCCTTGCGTCATTCTGTCAAAGAACGCTTCTATAGAAGTTCGCTGCGTGACATACCTGTCGGCCTCATTTTGAGAGCTTGTGCTTTCATTTTCCACAGGTGCACGCTCTGACCGTAAAACTTCCACAGATGGGCTCCTGGACCGATATGCCCCAGACTCTGATCTTGTCGGGTCGTCCGATGCTGCAGACCTGAAGTCCGGGGGGCACTTCGAGCACCTTTCGATGTGCTGCCGCAAGCGAGTTGCGTTGGGAAATTCGTATTTGGCACAGCAAAATCTGCACACCGCTGGCCCCTTACCACTGTTTAGCACGTCAAAGTTCCTCCACACGTTGGAGCGCGGCCTCACCATAGCGAACAGCGCACAGTTTTCACGGATCCACGGCGAAAGTCCATACCCGAGAACTATGCGCGAGAGGTTTCGGAAACGGCGTTGTTCAAGCTAAAGCGTTATAGCTGCCCTGGCTGACCTCTCCACGGCGCGCAGCACACAGTTTTGACAGCTCCACGGTCCACGGCAAGTGTCCACACCAGAGTAAGATGCTCAGAACTTTCACTAAGGGGCTGGGAAAGCTAAAGTGATATGGCTCCTCCGACTGCCCGTCGAGAGCGCGAACTGCACCGGCGGGAACGAAGAACTGCGTAGGTGCTATCGGTTCTTGCCAGATGAGTAGTCAAAGCTCAGCTAAATTGACAAAAGTTGTCGTAAACGTTAAAAAAAGGTGATACAATATAATAGTTCACCGTAAAACTGGCGGAAATATCTTGCGGTTGTTGACCTCTGTCGATATATTTCGAATCATTACTGAATTATAGCTGTTGAGAATATTTTTCGAATGTTTCCAAAATTTCCGGAAAAAAACTTGTTTTTTTTGTCGTTTTTTTTCGGCCTTCAAAATTTCCGGAAATTTTACATCTCTACTCCTACCGTAGGCGGTCTTTCGCTCGAGCT